CATGAACAAGGTGCTGCACATACAAGAAAGGAACCAGCTCTTCCTTCCAGAGGCTCCTGCCCAGTGGGGTGACAGACACGTAGACATTGAAAATACAACACATACGTAGTACTTACTATGAGCCAGGCACTGTACCAAGTGCTTTATAGTTACTAATTTATTTAATTCTTGCAACCACCTTACAAGATAGGTTCTGCGACAGAGGTGGTGATAAAAAGATGTCTTGAGGACCCCAAGAAGAGAACTCTGATGAGCTTCATGGAGGTGGTTATCAGATGAACCACAAAAGATGAGAAAGAGTCAAGTCCAAGAGGCAAGGAGGACAGAGGAATCATATAGTATGTGCGAGGCACAGAAATGTAAGACAACACAGTGTATTTGGAAAATGAAACCCGTTTGCTGAGGTCTGGCATCTAGGTGCATACATGCAGAGTGGCAAGGAATATGGATGAAGAAAAGCTTGACCAGATTAAAAATCTTTTTGCCCTATTTCAGAGTTTGGGCTTTCTTTTGAAAGTAAGAGAGAGCTTTCAGTTAGGAATGACATGACCAGTTTTGCATTTCACGAGATTCATGATGAAAGCAATGTGGTAAAGAAATTAGAAAGGAGTTGGGCTGGAGGTGGGGAGGGTGAGAGACAGGAACACCTGAATTAGCATAGAGACAGTGAGAGTGAAAATGGGGTGGGTTGGAACAAGGTTCCATAGGAAGTAGAACTGATTAGACTTGGTGACAATTAGATGTGGAGAGGAGGGAGGACTGAGTTAAGGGCTGTGGTCTGGGTTTCTCACTCACAGGTGAGGAGAGGCACCCTGCACAGAAATACAGAGCCCAGGAGGAAGAGCAGAACTTGTAAGGGAAGGTAACTTCCAGTTTTCAGTCCAGCAGTCCCTGTGGATCACCCGAGAAGACTCATCTTGGGTGAGTCAAGGAGGGATCCTGGGGGCGCTACCTCTAGGAAGGGAGATGGTCCGAAACAAGGGTAGTTCCACTACATCCCTGTAAGGTAGTCAGGAAAGGTAATTCATTCAACCGACATTTAAAGAATATACAGTGTGCCAGGCTCTGTACTTGGTGATGAAATTAAGAAGAGATACCAGGAAGGGTGACAAGGAGACAAGTCAGTCAATCACATCTGGGGGCTGGCTGGAGTAAGCACGCGACAGAAATCCGAAAAGGGAAACTTATTTTTTATTTATTTTAAAACTACAGGATACAAAAAAAAAAGATATCGAACACCGAAAAGCACAAAATATTACCTACAGTCTCATCATTCTGAGAAAACCAAGTTAACCACCTGACGTAGCTTTTCAAACTTTGTATTTATTTTTTAAAGGCGGGCGCCCTCTACTGTTTTTAAAAAGGGACACTTGAATTCTTACTGGAAGCAGGCGTGCCGCCGGGCAAGGTTTTGCAGGGGCTGCTTCGAGGCTAGGATTAAGTAAGGAATCGTACATCAGTGGCGCAGACGATGGGGGAAGGGAAGGGCATGATCCTCGCTTTCCAGGCAAGTAAGTCCAGCCTTAGAGAAGGACGTGACTTTGTAGGCTCCGCGAAGACAGGCGGGGGCCCCGAGAGTCCCGCTCAGCAGTTTCCGTCGCCCCAGGGCTATTGGGCGGAGGGAGCGGGGCGGGAGAGACACCCGATCTGTTGGGGCGTGGCCTTATGACACGACGTCACGTCTCCCTGCCCGGTAGCCCATTGGTTCTCCATTACCGCCCTTTTCCGGGGCAGGGAAACTGGCCGCAGAGCCGGAAGCGGGGTAGCCCTCGGGCTTGAGGGGGCGACGGTGTGGAAAACAGAGAACCTGGTGCCATTGGAGCTGGCCAGCTTCTCCAGTCAGGCTCCAGCCCGAGTTGAAGACCCCCAGGATTCCGGTGGCCTATGGAAAAGATCGCATCGCGAAGTATCCGGCGCAGACCGAAACAGCGCAGCCACTAAAAGCCGCCGGAAGCTTCGCCCCTAGGAGGAGTCGAGAAGCCTCGCCGTGGAGGAAGGAACCCAGAGGGCCTGCCCCCGGGGCGGAGCCCGCGGCCATGGCCACGCCCCCGGGGGCCGGTCCCGCGGCTCTGCGCTTCGCCGCCGCCGCCAGCTGGCAAGTCGTGCGGGGACGCTGCGTGGAGCATTTTCCGCGAGTATTAGAGTTTCTGCGATCATTGCGCGCTGCTGCCCCTGGTTTAGTTCGCTTCCGCCACCACGAACGCCTATGTATGGGCCTAAAGGCCAAGGTATTGGAGCCAGTAGGAGCTGGAAGACGGGAAAGGGGAGGGATGCGAGGGCCGAGGGCCGACTGCTTGGGGTTGGGACTCATTGGAAAAGGGCAGCTTGCCCCAAAGTGGAGATTGCGAGTTTAGTACCCTTTACAGGTAGTGGTGGAGTTGATCCTGCAGGGCCGGCCGTGGGCCCAGGTTCTGAATGCCCTGCATCACCATTTCCCAGAGTCTGGACCTGTAGTGCGGGACCCCAAAGCTGTGAGTAATCCCTGGAACAAGCCCTATACCCCAGTTAATACTGGGTGCCACAAAGTTGATTCTCCTTCCGGCCACTGGGTCCTGGTGACCCTAAATTGTCTGCTTTTCCTGCTCTCAACAGACAAAGCAGGATCTGAGGAAGGTCTCGGAGGCACAGGAGACCTTTTGCCAACAGGTGAAGCAACTAGGAGAGGCCCCAGTGGACTTGGCTTCCAGGCTGCAGGTGAGACTGGCTGGCTTGGAAGCTGTTATGTGGCTAACATTTCCCTAGTCCTCTTCTCACCTGCCTTTCTACCTCCCTGCAGGAACTTGAACAAGAGTATGGGGAACCCTTTTTGGCTGCCATGGAAAAGTTGTTTTTTGAATACTTGTGTCAGCTAGAAAAAGCCCTGCCTGCACTGCAGACACAGCAGGTTTTGTTGGGACAAAATAAGGGCAGAGTGGGGGATGGCTGTATCAAGGACTGTGGTCTTCATGCCTCTCTCCCTGTGCCCACAGCTTCAGGATGTGCTGAGTTGGATGCAGCCTGGAGTTTCTATCACTTCTTCTTTTGTCTTGAGCCAGTATGGTGTGGACATGGGGTGGCCACTTCCAGGTACGAGGACCATCTGGGAGAACTAGGAACTTGGGGGTGGATTGTTTGGCCTGAGACCTTTTGAGATGGGCTATTGGAAGGGTTACATGGACCTGAGCCATAAGAAACCAGACTGAGTTGTGTTTCTGTTTGTTCTGAGGAGCTGCATTTTGTTTTTCAGAGTGCTCCGTTCCCGATTCAGCGAGCGTGACAGAGCCCACAGAGCAGAATCCTCCTCAGCAACCAAAACTAGCACTTCATGATCCTTTGCCAAATGCTAGGCCTGGCCCACACCTACCTCAGGGACCAGCCTTAAGGAAGCACCCAGAACCTACGGCTGGCCACCACTTCAATCTGGCCCCTCTAGGCCGGCGAAGAATCCAGTCCCGATGGGCATCCACTAAGGAAGGCCATAAGGAGCGCCCCACAGTCATGCTGTTCCCCTTTAGGAATCTGGGTTCACCAACCCAAGTCCTACCTGAGCCTGAGAACAGGGAAGAACATGGGACAGACATGGCAGATCCAGCAGGTGCTGGGGGCACGAGAGCACCTTCCACTGGAAAGTCAAAGAGTCCATCCCAGACCCTGGGGGGAAGGGCTCTGAAGGAGAACCCAGTTGAGGTGTTTGCTTCAGAGCAAGAAGAGTGAGTGGAACAGTTGCTTCTCCCTACTAGCAGCACATTCTTTGCCTGCTTTCCCCTCACCTTATTTTTTTTGCTTGCTCCCAATGCAGGAATTGCCTGGTTTGCCCCATGGACCCCCTGAGACTGTCATTATCCCCTCCTAAAGCCAGGAAGCCATGTAAGTATTCTGAGTCAGACTGGGTCAGACAGCCTCCTCTCACGGGGACTCTTGAGGGCCTGTTTGCCTAGAAGGGTACTTTGACTCTGGTTTCCTTCCTGCAGTGTGTCCTCCATCTCTGTGCAGCTCTGTCATTACCATAGGCGACTTGGTTTTGGACTCTGATGAAGAAGAAAATGGCCAGAAGGAAGGAAGGGTGAGTAGGAAGGAACAGAAAGCTGGGGAAGGGGCTGAGCAGAACAAGACAGAGAAACCCACATGCTCCAGAATATGGAGGGCTCAGGGAATGAGAGGATGATAGCGTCTCCCTGCTCCCTTCTCTGCAGGAGTCTCTGGAAAACTATCAGAAGACAAAGTTTGACACCTTGATCCCCACCTTCTATGAATACCTCCCCACTTCTGGCCCCAGTGCCATGTCTGTCCCTCCTGTGACTGTAGAGACAGGTCTAGACACTTAGGACTGAGATTCCCTCTGCACTCTGCCTGTCTCCTTCCTCAGCTCTACAGTTTAGTGGGAATAAAGCAGAAGCCTGGGCTTGGGTGACCCGACTACCTTGCTAAAATTACCTTGTAATCCTTGTTAATTAAAATTTGGATCTGTTAAAACACTGCCTTGGTGTGAGGAAGGGGAATTAAGGCTTCTATCAAGTCAGTGTAGGTCATTCCTTAGAACTGGCTTCACCAGGGCCGGAGGAATCCCTTTGCCTTTTTACTTCCCCTGGAAGATGGTGTTCACATGTGCCAAGAAGGGTTGATAGCCTGGAAGGGAAATTTCCCTTCGCTATGCTAAAAATATCCGTGTGTCCTGACAGCACACTGTACTTCGTAAACTCTCATGCCGTCGGGTTGCCTGGGGGTGGTGGCACTGGAATGGAGATACTTCATGGAAAAAGTATTTCCTGTCCTTGGCTCTACTGGGTCAGTGCCAACTCTACTGCCACTTGCCCTGGAGCAGCACCCAGGTGCCAGCCTTGTGCAGAAAGATCCAGAATCTCTTCAAAGTCCTTGGGATCTCTTTATTGAGATTTTCTTTTTTTTTTAAGATTTTATATATTTATTTGACAGAGAGACACAGCGAGAGAGGGAATACAAGCAGTGGGAGTGGGAGAGGGAGAAGCAGGTTTCCCACCGAGCAGGGAGCCCGATGCGGGGCTCGAGCCCAGGACCTGGAATCATGACCTGAGCCGAAGGCAGATGCTTAACGACTGAGCCACCCAGGCGCCCCTTTATTGAGATACTTAAAATATGTCAACACTTTTGGGCTTTTTAGGTATTCAAAGATCCTATTTAATGAAGCTCATTAACAAAACATGCTTTCAAGAGCCTCACTCTTCCAGACCAAGGCCATTAAATACTTAGGTAGGAATCAGCATCTTTTCCTTTTAATAATCTTCAGGATGCTGGATCCCCAGATTCACATTTGACTGTCTGACTTCATTTTCTCAGCCTGCCTGCCTTTGCTTGCTCCCCAGTGAGTGCCCTGGGCATTTTGTGTGTAGAGTACAGAATTACTGCAGGCGCCCTCAGGGGTGAGGCAACAGGAAATGATTAAGAAATAGCCAGAGTAGCTGGGATGGCTGAGGAGCCCACCTGAGGGACCCTGCGCCTGGGTGCTAGAGCCTTGAGAAGGCATAACTGCTCAGGTCTAGCTCTCATCACTGAAGATTGGATTCACCTGCTGGGTGACCCGGATGAAGGTGGTTCTCCGGCTCAGTTCCTTCAGTTTAGCTGCTCCCACGTAGGTACATGTGGAGCGGATGCCTCCAAGGATGTCTCGGATGGTATGCTCCACATCCCCTTTAAAGGGCACCTCCACTGTCTTTCCCTCTGAGGCCCTTTGAGGAGGAAAAACTTTCTTACCTTTTCCTTTTGGGTTCCTTAAGCCCAGTGATGGCTCTCCCCTGCTCTATGGCATTGAGCCCCAAGCTCACCACTGTTCCTCTGAGAACTGTACCATGCACCTCCCAGCAGCCAGGAGTTCTGCCACCACCCTACTTAGTCACGCTTTCCAGGAACCCTCGGCTCCTGGACCTCTGCACATACCTGTACTCAGCCACGACCCCGGCATACTTCTTCATGGCCATTTCAGAACTCATCCCATAGAAGAGCTTGTACTTCCTGCCATCCCTCTCGATGAGCTCACCACCTGACTCACTGTGCCCAGCCAGCATGCCACCCAGCATCACAAAGTCAGCTCCTGCCCCTGCCAGCATCCACAAGGCGGGGGAAAGAAGTGAATTTGGCCCAGGTCCCCACATACCCACCCTGAGAAGCAACTCACGTCAAATTCTCAGTCCTGACAATGAGTCTAACATCTTCCTAGTTTTGTTCGCCTAGCTGACCCACAACCCACACAGGCCTGCTCTGCTCTGGCCTCTACTCAGTGGGCTTGATTTCCCCAAGAATTTAAAAAGAGCATCTGGAGATTCCCTGCCTGCTCTCTCGTTTTTTGCTGCTTTTGCCATCTTCTGGTCATTTCTTTTCATTGTGTGCAGCTAAACAAGACTCACTCCAAGTGTCCCAAGGGCAAAAGTTTCTAACTGTAGTCCCACAGTCCGGGGGATACTACAGGTGGCCGTGGCCTGCCCTTGGGCAGTCCATATCAGAGTCTCAGGATTTCTCTTGCTGGCTTGCCTCAGGTGACAACCACAGCTTCAGGGTCACTAGTTCATATTGTGAAAGAATTTGAATGGCTTTCTCAGCCTTTCCAAGCCTGATCCTTGACCCTGAGAGGTGACTTATCCTCTTCTACAGGACCCTCCCTCCATGCTCTCCCAACATCCTTACCGAAAGCCTTGGCCACATCCCCAGGACAACTGCAGCCTCCATCCTGCAAAGTAAGGAGCACTATGAAGAGAGAACATGGATTGCCCAAGTACTCTGAGCGATGTCCCCACAGCCCACCTCAAAGCTGACAGGAACCCAGGAGTCCTGATCCACTGCTACCACAGTCTCCACACCCAGCAGAAAACACAGATGTTTGGCAGCCTCATGCCCTACCCTGCCCTTGGGCCTTACTGAGATGATGTGGCCTTTGAGGCCATGAGCAGCATCTGCACACTCCATCACTGCACTGAGCTGTGGGTACCCCACTCCAGTTTTCTTCCGGGTGGTGCACACGGAGCCTGAGAAGAATGTAATGAGAACAGTGAAGTGCTCCACAGGCATTTGCCAGTGGAGAGGTAGCCCATGGCCCCCAGGGAAGCAGCTTACCTGGTCCAATTCCCACTTTGATGATGTCAGCCCCAGAGAGGATCAGCTCTTCCACCATCTCTCCTGTTACCACATTCCCTGCCTGAGGCACAAAACAGCACTCTTAGGGTCGGAAACGAGAGGAGGTTGCATGCTCTCATACACAGCATGCCTGGACCATGACCTTCCAGTGTTATTACAAAGAAGGGTACCTAGGTTTCCTCTACTGGGCAAGGACTCTACTTCCCAAGCTGAGGTAGGGGGGTTAGTGGCCAGTATCACTGTTGCACTAGGGTAAAGCTGGGGTCCAGTTGGACCAAGGCCAGAGTTGATTTACAGATTTATCTTCCCGTCCTTGCCAAGAGATCCAAACATCCTGTCATTAAGCTGTTACATCATAAAATCTCTGGCTTCAGGGAAAGGGGGAGATGTGGTCATGTAAGCTAAATATCCATCTGTATTTACTTCCAATGGACAGTACAGAGAGACCCCTTGATGCTGTAGAGAAAATGAGGCCTTGCCATCACTCCCCTAAGCTTGTAAAAAAAAAAATAAAACTCTTTCACGCGACCCCTCTAATATGATTCTAGTGCATGTCCACTTCAGTGGGCAGATGAATATATACCGTAGGTATGTACAAGGCATGTATCAAGGGACAGAGGTAACTGCACTAACCAATCTGAACATTTTAAGCATGGAACCATGGATTATCACCTAGTGACAAGATTCAGTGGACTAGGAAAATCAGCAGAGGAGAAATCAACTGACGTCATAAAATGGAGTGTCTGGAAAGAGTGGAAGGAAGAGGAACGTACCAACTACAGGGTACTGGAAACATACCATAATGGTGTGCTTGGGGAAGCGCTTCCGCACATCCTTTACAAACTCAACAAAGTGTTCCGAGTAGCCATTTGCCACATCCAGGCATATATATTTCACCTGGGGAATAGCTTCCAGGATCTGCTCCAGCTGTTCAAAGTCTGAAGAGCCTGTGCCTGAGCTGGCAGCCACATGCTGTGAGAGAGACAGGGCCACTGGCATGTCACAAATGACCCAGTGAGCAGCCAGAGGGGCTGGGAAGGTGAGGGTCGGTTCCCAGGAAGCCAAAAAGAGATACCTGGAAAACTGGGATAAGGAAGGGATCAGGGGAGGACCAGCATTACCTCAAGACACTCAGGATTCTGGCTAGCAAACTCTTTCCACTGCTGGAGGCTGTAGTGTTTATGAACAGCTGTGAAGAGGGAGAACTGGGGAGAAGAAAAAGCCATCAAAAAGAAGAGAACTTTACAAGCGTCTCTTTTGCTAGAAACAGACATTTATAGTATTCTATCTGAGGGAGAAAAGGACTGAACTTTGGAAAACAACTTGAAGAAACCACTGGTTGAGCTGGGATTTTAACGTAACCATTATTCTCCCTACAAATACCAGTAGGGCTTTTTCCCATAAGCCAGTGCTTGTCCAACACTGCAACCAAAGTACAAAGTCATTCGGATTGGATTTCACCAATCAGCACCTACAGGTGACAAAGACAAGCTGTTGGTGCAGTGGGACAAGCAGCAGACAAGAAAGAGCCATGAAGAGGCTGGACAGAGCCAATATCTGCCTGCACTGACTCAGCCCCTCCCCCTACGGTAGCCTAGTACTGAACTAACCTATTTTTGGGTATCTTCTGGTCCATTTACCAGCAATAATTCAGTGAGTCTCAATGCTCACAAAAGGCAAGGTCTTAATGGAGCCAATAAGGTGCTACCCCATTCTTTCTCCATCTCCACTGTAGTAAAGGACAGATTTTTTGGAGACACAGGCCAACCTAAAAAGTCCATTTCCTTCCATCTGTTTCAGTCAACCAAGTTCAAGGATACAGTGAACTCATCAGACTTGTATTCCATAGGTCAACAAATTGCAAAACAATATCCCAATACTTTGAGAAAGGCACTCGGAGGCCGGTGTGAATGCTGGTGCTTGTGCCTTATTTTTATTTATTTTTTTAAAAGACTTTAATCTCTACACCCAACGTGGGGCTTGAACTCACAACCCCGAGATCAAGAGTCCCATGTTCCACTGACTGAGCCAGCCAGGCGCCACAGTGCTGCTGCTTTAAAAGTGCAGACATGCAAATAGACAAGAGAGCAGTTGACGGAGACAGCCCAAATCTTGCAAGTGACAAGAAGTCCAAAGAAAGGGGCGCCTGGGTGGCTCAGTTGGTTAAGCGACTGCCTTCAGCTCAGGTCATGATCCTGGAGTCCCGGGATCGAGTCCCGCATCGGGCTCCC